TCAGGGAAAATGGCACGCCAAGCAACATAGCATAAAAGCAATTTAGCAGAGAGGGGTTTCATCGACTGGGATGGGGAGAGGGAAACCGAGTATAGACAATGCGATGGACAGAAGAGAAGCTGAGGATTTACGGTGGTTTTCGCCTACATGTGCCATGTCACCGGTGACAGACACGTTCCAACGTCCAGTGCGCTGTCACGTAACATGGCTCGGATGCATGACATGAGACTGGAGTCTTACACCTGGATTATGCTCATGCTTCCCGGAGGACATTCAAGGCAGCAGAGGAAATGTTGCGAGTCCACGACAGTCACACATTCTACCTGCAAGAGGTTTATGGTTTGTAACAAGGTCAAAGGCAGGCGAAGCCGCCTTGTCATGGCTTCATCAGCAACCGCCTCAGCTGGTTACTCTGTGTAACCCTTCAGAGATCGCCCCAAGAGCGGTGTTCACAGGAAAACTTTTTTCTCTCACAAGAGGAGCCGATTGGTCACCCTGGGATCTGCATCTGTGCCGCTTCCATCTAAATATGATAAAGCGGGCTTTTGTACAACTCGTCATCATTTTGGATGTGATAAAAGAGGAGTATGGAATCTTTGAGACTTCTGAGATACTAAATGCTGTGAAAAAAAGTGTTCTTGGAAACAGCACATAACAGTAGCAAAAAAAAAGCTGGGGGAAACTCCAGGATATCAGTATTTACCTTCAGTAAATATTCAAAACCTACAAACAATGTTTATTTTGAAAAACATGAATCGTAATCCTGATCTCTCTTAAAAAAGGGCTGCTCAAAAAGACACTGAAAGTTCTGCTCATGTTCACCTGGCAAAAAACCTGAGCTACTTTAAGAGATGTATTTCCTCATCCAGCTCCTTACCACACCCCTTTGCTGGAGGCTACCGTTTCAAGTCAGAGTCCAGAAGGAAACGCACGCTCACACCTCGGCTGCTCCACTGCAAAACCTGGCATCCCAGCCCGGACCCGCCTGCCGGGATGATTTCAGTCAAGATGAGCTTGGCTGAAGTGCGGGCACGCGCTCCTTTGTGGTCACTCTGCTGCAGGGGTGGTGAGTGCTAGCAGAGGTGGATAAGCAGCTAGGACGGAAATGCCTTAAATCTTTCCTGGAGTTCACCTGTCAAACCCCTAAGCAATGAATTAGAAAAAAGCTTAGAAAAATGCAGTATACGTAATATTCCTGCATGTAAGCAGAAAAACAACCTTCACAATGCTCGCACGATTATGTGCTTGCATTAGTACGATACTAGAAAAATATAGGTATCATTTTGGCTAGAAAGACCGCTATGATAAAAAGTTTTGATCTATTTATAATCTTGGTTAAATTAGCAACTTATTTTTGAAGCCATATGATTTTGAGATATTGTCTGGTTTTTCTAAGATCTACAGCTGAAGTGCATTTTAATGAACGGGTGAGTATTACTGGTCATCTTTGACACTACGCCTGGAAGGCTGCAGGAACAGCATACAGCGTGTTCGCGTACGATGAGCCTCGTGTGCATGTAGTGGTGTTCGTCTACTGCATGCAGCTAGAAGATTACAGTACCTCGTTTCCTGTCCACATCTGTCCATTCATCTACACGAAGCATATAAAACAAAAACATCAGTTCAAGAAGTAAGAACAATCGTTTCAAGGAGAATAAAAGAAATAAATTAAAAAAAAAAAAATCTAACTAACGGACTTTGGTTTTTCTCATCAGCATTCAGCGCTTAACAAGAACGAACTCTTGTGTCACTTGACGTCTTTCAATGAGCACGCACAAGATGAAACCTCGCCCACCCCTTGGAAAAAAGCTTGTTGCTTCAACGGAGATAAAATTTTACCCTTGATTGAATCTTAATCACGTTTTGCATTTAGCTTGGAAAGTTTTAAGCTGTTTCTTGCACTTACAACTGAAAAATATTTGAGTGAACAGTTTTAAGCATTCAGAAACACCTCAGCATGGATGAAACCACATCTCAGTAAAATTAACGCCCCATTTTTTGGGAAGATAAAACACATGTGTGGACAAACTAGTGCAGATCTAATGCTCCTGCTGAGATATTCCACCAAGTTTGGCTAATTTAGTTTAAGCTCTAACCAGACCTATACGAACAGTAAGAGCTTTTGCTGGGTCATTCTCTGAAGACACACATGAACAACTGGAAACCACACTGCTATGGTGAAACCTTTGCTATGTAGCACTTCTTCCTATTGGGCAGGCAGGAGAAAAAGTAACTAACCACCTCTTCAATACGAGTTAATACTGAGTTGATTTTTTATTACAAAATACTAAAGCTTCCTGAAATGCATTCTGCGTCCCATGACAAGACACAAGAATTTTTAAAAGCAAAGCAGTTTTAATGTAAAAGTGTTAAACAAAGAGGTGCTCAGCTGTAAGCTGGATTTTTGTGCACGCCGAGGGCTCTGCTTTCACAGTAACTTGGACAAACTACCGGACTGACAGATTTTTATAGAAGCCGGACAAGGATTTCAAGCCATATTTAGGTTATTTGAAGTTTTTCTTAATTGCGCATGCTTCTTCCGCATAAGCTTTACAAAATTATTCCTGGAAACCACTTCCCATTGCAAAGCAATCTGGTTTTCCTGACGCAGCTCAGGACCTGGATTGACACCCTCAGATCCTGAGCTGTTTTGATTCCAAACGTACTTCCCAAGCTCGAAGCTCTGAAGCAAGTACCGAAACGCTGAAGCGCATTTCAATTTCTACCGTCTCTGCACGCACGTCGCAGGTTAGCTCCACGAATACCTTCAGGCAGTTATTACCACAGAAACTTCAGGAGAGCTGGTGAACTCAGCAGAATTTACTTCAAATTTAAGACAAGAAAAACCACACGCAGCCGGCCACCGCGACAGGGCTGCGGGCCCGGGGAAAGCGCTTGCCCCCAGGCTCCTTCCCAGGGCAGGCGCCCTCCGGTAGC